GTGCCTTTTATTTCTGAAATGCTGCAGTGACATCTGCCACAGTAAATTTTCACCTAAAAAGAATAAAGCAATGGAAAGTGATTTATTTCCATAGGCTTGTTGTACTGGAATCTGGCTTTGTGTTAAGACAAAAAAAGTGAAGCCAGAGTGCATGAGGGGTAGCTTTTGGTGGCTCTTTTGAGACTATGCTATCATGGCTGAAGTAGTGAAGATCTGGTCAATGTATTAGTTTATTCGACTACGTTATGACCAACAGATGACCACCCTGTCATCTGTTGGAGGAACAACACAGCAAGGCACAAACAATGCAGGAGGTTTTGATGATAACTTTCTGACACAGTTAATGGAGGAGCCAACGAGGAGAGGTGTGCTGCCGGATCTTGTACTTCCAAGTCTGGAACTCAGTACTTGGTGTCATCAACATCAGATGAAGCTGTATATGTGCTTCTACATGTTTCAGACACAGGTCTTCTAAGAGCCTGCCTCCAAAACTGATTCTCTTTCCCATGTATGTCTTCCGTTGGTAAACTTCTGAGTCGTTTACTGGGCTTCCAGGATGAAAGATGTGGCAGTTAATTACATGTTAGAGTACAACAATTACATGCTGTCCAGAAGAAAAACTATCTCTGGTATGATGAAAAGAGTTTGCTTATCCTCTGCTGACTATGAGGATCAGGAGAAAATAGTATTTGTAGGCCTACCAGGAAGGATTGTTCTTGGTGAATCTTGCACTTGAAAATGATCTGGAGTGTTCTACAAGATCTGGATTTCTCTTACAAATGTCTTCAGATAGTAGTGTACTAGTTATGACAATGGAAGTCAGCAAAATAAAGGGATGTCTTGCCTACAAGACATGACTATGGGGTATCCTCTTGCACCTCTCCTGGGAAATTGGCAGTACCTCTGAAGTACCTGTACACCAATGCATGCAGCATGGGTAAAAAACAGGAAGAATTAGAGATCTGTGTGCGGTCGCAGGGCTATGATCTCATTGCGGTTACAGAGACTTGGTGGGATAGCTTGCATGACTGGAATATTGTCATGAATGGCTACATGCTTTTTAGGAAAGACAGACCAGGAAGGCGAGGTGGTGGAGTTGCCCTTTATGTGAGAGAACACCTGGAATGTATGGAGCTTTGCCTAGGGGTGGATGATGAGCAGGTTGAGAGCTTACGGGTAAGGATTAAAGGGCAGACTAACAAGGGTGACACTGTTGTGGGTGTTTGCCCCAGGCCACCTAATCAGGAGGAGGAAGTAGATGAGGCCTTTTACAGACAGCTGGAAGTAGCCTCACAATCACAGGCTCTGGTTCTCATGGGAGACTTCAACCACCCTGACATCTGTTGGAGGAACAACACAGCAAGGCACAAACAATGCAGGAGGTTCCTGGAGAGCATTGATGATAACTTTCTGAAACAGTTAATGGAGGAGCCAACGAGGAGAGGTGTGCTGCCGGATCTTGTACTAACAAACAAGGAAGGACTGGCCGGAGATACGAAGGTTGGGGGCAGCCTTGGCTGCAGTGACCACAAGATGGTGGAGTTCAGGATCCTGTGAGGAGGAAGCAGGGCTATAAGTAGGATCACAACCCTGGACTTCAGGAGAGTTAACTTTGGCCTCTTCAGGGACCTTATTGGAAGAATCCCATGGGATTGGGCCCTAGAAGGAAGAGAGATCCAAGAGAGCTGGTTAATATTCAAGGATCACTTCCTCCAAGCTCAATAACAGTGCATCCCTAAGAGCAAGAAGTCGAAAGGGGGCAGGAGACCTGCATGGATGAGCAAGGAACTCCTAGCAAAACTGAAACATAAGCAGGAAGTGTACAGGAGGTGGAAGCAGGGACAGGCCACTTAGGATGAATATAGAGACGTCAGAGCATGCAGGGATGCGACGAGGAAGGCTAAGGCCCAGTTGGAATTAAATCTGGCAGGGGATGTCAAGGACAACAAGAAGGGCTTCTTCAAATACATCAAGAGCAAAAGGAAGACTAGGGAAAATGTGGGCCCGCTACTGAATGGGGCAGGGACCCTGGTGACAAAGGATACAGAGAAGGCAGAGTTGCTGAATGCCTTCTTTGCTTCAGTCTTTCCTACTAAGGCCAGTCCTCAGGAATTCCAGACCTTGGAGACAAGAGAGGAAGTCTGGAGAAAGGAAGACACTCCCTTGGTTGAGGAGGATCAGGTTAGAGATCTTTTGTCCAAACTTGACATCCATAAATCCATGGGCCCTGATGGGATGCACCCACGAGTGCTGAGGGAGCTGGCGGATGTTATCGCTAGGCCACTCTCCATCATCTTTGAAAGGTCCTGGAGATCAGGAGAGGTGCCTGAGGACTGGAAGAAAGCCAATGTCACGC